ACAAACTTGTTTTTATATTCTTGTGGGGCCCGTCCTTTGACTTCCATTCATTTTTTGGTAATTTATATCCTAACCCTGACCACAAACCCTAAGGCTAACCTCACAGGTAACCACCTGACCCTAAAACTAACCTAAACTCAATTCACACCTTGGTCCTAAACACAACCCCCACTGCCAAAATCTGCCTCCGAAGTTGTGGGACCCAAAGGAGCACCCGGTCCCCATGAAACTGCATTTTCCTTAAAACTGGGCCCCACGATGTAAGAAAAACAAAGCCACACACACACACACACACACACACACAGGTTTTGACATTAACTTCAGCATGTTTACAGTTAACAGTACGAGTACAGATATGGCTCAGCATGCACACAATGTGCTGAGTCACTGGACTATTTCTTTTGGCAGCCTCTAACTTTAGCCAGCTATGTTAATCTTTTGGTCATGCCTGCTTCAAACTATCACCCCTCCCTTTTTTCTGTCTTGCACACACAGAGCAAGCACTTGTCTTTAGGGACCATGGCAGTAAATGGGAGTTACCAAAGAATCTGATTAAAGAGTGAATGCATCTTGTCGACAGATGCAGTGTTCTCAAACCAAGATCTTACAGGAACTATAAGAAAATACAGCAAATTTGAGTGGACTGAACCAAGACTGGTAAGTAATGATAAATACAGCTGTAAGTTTAATTAGCAAAAATGAATTGTAAGCACATTTAATCTGTACACTCTGTTAGTGTGTAGAAAAGTGATGAAAGTTGGGGGGAAATTTGTAATGAACTAAAGTGCACTGTAGAGTGATCATGAAGTACATCAACTGTACAGCTTTGTTTGGTGGAAAAAAAACATTAAAGAGAACAGATATAGAGCAAATAAAAAACAAGACTCCACTCTTTTAAAATAAAATAATTGGGAGAAACAAAGGAAAACCTGAGGAGCAATAGTATGAGGGTCAGTAATATGTTTGAATCTGTCTTGTCGCGTAATCTTGGTTAGCTTTTATCCTTCTGTCTGGATGTTTCTAACAATATAAAATATGTTTTCATTTTCACATATCTCTGTTCTCTGAACTATTTGTAAGGGAACAAATGTCACTAAATGCCATTTTCTATACAGTGAATTATATGCAAAACATTAAATTATTAATTTGCTAAAGTTCTGTAGATGTAGTGAAAACCGGTAAACGGTTGAACAGCTCTCATTTTTATTGTCCTCTCATTTTCCAGCTGCTTCATGTTAAAACTGGACCAGAGGTGTGGCCCACCCTAACATAATGTCATCATGCCTTTCAGCCAAGCCAAAATGCTTGAAGGTTGAGGTCTTGTTTAAGTGTGCTGTTCTCGGGAAGGGGATGGGGTGGGGGTATCAAAGAGACTTTGTTATGATTCTGATCTGCCCACAGCAACACTTAAAGACATTTCAGACCAAACTGTTCCATGGATTGTCTGAGGACTGTAAGAACTATGGAGAAGGACAACAAACAATTTAACATGTCTAATATTTTATACTAAAAGATAAAACATGTCAGTCATCTTAAGGCAAGCTTTCCTTTTATTTGGTTGTGCTCAAACCATATTAAAATGTTGGAATGACATTAGGCCAATCAGCAGGAGGCAGACATATCTACTTCCACAAAAAATAGGCCCAATGCCAGGTTTCACTTTCACTTAGATTGTCTGTATTTTTATTATTTATTTATTTATTTATTTGGGGGGGGGGGATTTTACTTGTGTTTACACAGTAGTTGTGCGATGCTGGATTCAAGGATTGTTTCACATTACTGAACACTTAATCTGACCAATCAGGATACAGCTATGTCAAAAGTTTTTTTGAGTTTTACTCAGAAAAAGAAAGGCACCTTAAAAGCAGTTAAATATTTTGTACAGGGTGAGTCAAAAGTCACATTACACCTTTTTATTTTGACCCAACATGGAGGCCATGCTCTGAACATATCCTAAAAATATAGGCCCCCTCACTCATTATATTCTGGGGTATTCAAATATTTCATTTTCCAATTTCTATCTGAAAGAAAAGTCCTGCAACTTTTGACTCGCACTGTAGTTCCTCTTAGGACTAAGTAAATTTGATGAAAACACTGCTTGTATTTAAAATGGTAATGCTGTCTTTACAGAGATATACACAATAAAGGAGAAGCAGTGATGTCAAAAAAGAACATTATTTTAGTTTTGGAGGAGAACTCTTTGTTCTGAGCTGAAAGGCACACCATTAACTAATTCACTGTTCGCTGCAGGGAGTGCCCTCTTGAAAATAAACAACATTTCATTATCTGTGCTGCTGTTGGCCCCATGCTGCTTACACACACTGGAACAGCCTCCTACGCAAACACTGTGCAACACATATCTGCCTTCTCCAAACCACCAGCTGCCTTAGTCGTGTTCACAGCCAGCAGCAGTCACAGATCGTCCCTGCTGGAGCTCACTGAGTTCAGCCTGAACAGACAACAACTTCTCTTCTCTTAGCAGATCAGCGTCAGGAAGAATTTACTTGCTTGTTTTTACCAAACCTACCGCTAACTGAGTGTGTTGCTATCAAGAATGAATACAGAGCACAGATCAGTTGGATTAATTTGTCTTAACAAAGAAAAAAAAGTTTCTTAGAGATACAGAAATATGTTTCCCCATGACATAGCACGCTAGATTTAAAAAAAAAAGTTGGCTGCTGGTGTTTATCTAATATTCATTGAGAGGGCATGAAAGTTGTGTTAAGCTTTCAATATTTTGCTCTGTCCATATTTTCTTCAACTCCAAGTTCCTACTAAGGGAAAACATCTGCGCAGCATGATTCTGCCACCACCATGCTTTACTGTTAGAGAGAGGTGTTAGGTTTGCAGTTGACATAATGTTGACCTTGATAGCCATGATGGTCCAAACAAAATGTACGAATACATTTCCTCACAGCACTTTTCCATTTTCTGAAATTATTTAACAATTTTTGTCAATTTAATTTCATCATTTTAGAATACCTTGTCTACCGCTTCTGTTCTCAAACTGAAAATAGACAAAAAAGACAGAATGCCAAAAGGAGTGACTATTTTTTCTCACAAAACAAGGTGTGTTGAACTGCCACGCTATCAGATTGTGACACCTTTTCCGCTGTGCTTCTCAGAATATAGCAGTCTGCTTACTTTAGTCTTCCCAAGTAAGATCCAAAGCAGCACAAGCTCTGCTCAGTCTGTAGAGGAGACGGAATGACAAAAAAAAAAAAAAAAAAACAACTTCCAGATGGCAAGCTGTTTGTCTTGATCTTTTGACTGAATTTTTAATTTCTGTCAACACAGACAGACTGTTCCAGTGTGCAATATGGTTGTTTATGGCATAACACGTTTTCAATTCAGAAAAAAAGTGTCTAAGTGATCCCCTCAAATGCTCTTTACCAAATTGCAACTTTATAATTTTACAACTGCAGTTTTGTAAAACAGATTTTTCTTTAGTAAACTGAGCAGGTCAGCATCAAGATTAGTTGTATACACCTGCACATGGCAAAAGTTCTGGTCACTGAAGAGATGACAGAAATCGATTGCATTGCTCTACAAATTAAAATAGTTTTTAAACTAAAAAGCTCTGTATATGTTGTGTAATGCAATGATTGTTCCACATTTAGTTTATTGTAGTGAAGTTTGGGGGAAAGCATATAAAACCAAAACAACTTTTTTAGCAGTTTACAAAAAAGAGCTACATGAGTATAAAGTACTGTGGTTACCCTACAAATACTGTATATTATTTCATCAAATGAAATTCTAAAAAATATATAATATTTGGTTGAATATAGTATTTTACAAGTCATGCATATAGCTCATATAAAAGATTACCTTCAAATATTCAATCATAATTTGTTAAATGAGAGAGATAAAAATCCAGCCATTGTTTGTCAGGTGAAATACTTTTTCCACAAAATTATTCAAATATTCTTAAGAACATACATGTCAACCTCACAGGGTGGAAGATGGCTGTTTTATGTTATTTTTTTTAAATCATCCTACATGCTCTGACATGTTAGATGAATTTGAAAATGAGGTTTTGAAAAAATCCGTAAGACTTGAAAAAATCCTTGAGATTGCTCTATACGTCCGTATACCTGCAAAATGACATGAAATCCTTATAAATTACGGACAATCCGTACAAGTTGACATGTATGTAAGAAGAAAAGAAGACTTCTGTGAGCTTGATTCATGCTAAACGTTCCTGTTTGACTCGTTAGTTGCACTAGTGTTTGGACATGGAACTGCATCCGCCATCTTTCCTCTCTTGCAAAGAACAAATGAATGACAGCACAGGGGCATCTTAGAGGGCCAATCAGATTTCAGCTAGGGCCATTGTCCCTGTGACCCCACCTCTAGAACCACATTTGAAAGCAGGTAAAAAAGAGTGCTTCTTGGATGGATGGATGGATGGATGGATGGATGGATGGATGGATGGATGGACGGACGGACGGACGGACACTTCTGTCGAGAGGCATTGGTGGTATATTATCATGGTGGCAGTGCTTTGAGTTTCTGGGTGAAACGGGTGAACATAGTTTAGTCATGTGAGACCTGCATGCACTAGTGAGTCTTGTTCATCTACAATTTCAAGAATGGCTACACTCACTACAACCAATAGCTGTGCACCACATTCTCTCATCCATCAGATGCAGCGACCAATTCTAAAATTAGAACATGTCACATGTCAACAAATACTGGCCATACTCAGCTGTTCTTCATTCATGTTTTGGACGCAGCATAAGAACTGCTTGTTTTCATCAGGCTCAGGTCTGCTGGATAAGGAACGAAGAAGATGTGATCAGGATTCTGAGTCAAAAGTCATCTTCTGTCCTCTCTTGAAGTTCTCAGGAGAGCCATTGCTATCTGATCATGAAGTATTCCAATGTATTACAGCTTCACTGTTGTTTATATTAAAATGATGATTTTTTTTAAGTATGAAAATATTGAATAGTGTTTTGTCAAGGCTACAACTGATGATGGAGCCCAACAACTTAGAGCAAACACGATGCCTGTAACAGTAGCATTCTGCTGGAGTGGCTTTATCCTTGGACGTGCAGCTGCATTCTGAGAGTCAAAAACAATTATGCCAGGGCAAGGTCCAATGATGAGGCCATGGGTGTAAGTGGTAGTACAAACATAGAATCAGGTTGTTCAGGTATAGAGCATGGTGAATGCATAAAAGAGTGGCTCAGGATGGAAAGAATATCAATAAAAACATTTGGTGAGTACTAAGCAACTATTAGTGCTATGAATCCCTGCACACCGAATGAGAATTTCCAGATTTGCTATGATGGAGTCACGTCCCAATAGTTTATGGAAAGTGTAGCAAAAATGTCATCTAGAGTGAGGGGGCTAGCTTAAGTTTAAACTTTCTTTGACTTTTTTCTTTTTCTAATCTCAATTCAAGTTAAAAAAAAAAACAGCCACAGCCAGTAACTTCCCTATAAAATCACAACAACAAGCAACTTCACAAGGGATGAATCAGTTGGAAATTTAAGAGTTAGATTAGCATTGGGGAAGGTAAAAGTGGAGCAAAACACATTTAAAGTGAAGTCAGTTTAACCTTTGAAGCCATGCAGTCAAATAACTTGAACACGAGTTTCTACAGATAGATATATCTCACAAATTATTATTGTTTTGTTTGTCACAGGTACACATCTTTTACCATGATTAGGTTAAAAAAACAGCTAAAGTTAGGACAGATAATAATCACACATGGACAATCAATGTGACCCCCCCCCCCAAGCCCCCAGTGCTCTGCTATGAATCATTTGTTCAGAATTGCAATTTGCATCCTCATATTTTGTCTGTGGCAATTTTCTATTTCAGCTGTGTGTGTCTGTCTGTGTGTGTGTGTGTGTGTGTCAGGAAACAAACTAAAAGTCAAAAGACGCCCGAGGACGGGACTAAAGAGGCTGCTGTTCCCAGAAACGAGGTCTCTCAAGAAGAAAACACAGACTCCGTGGACTGCTCTGCTGCAGCCACAACATACAGCTACTGTTAGGTAAGACTAGACACACAAAGACATAAAGTAATAATCTGGATAATGAAAAATATATTCAAATCAAATTTAAGATTTCTCACCCATAATCTAAAGTTAGCTTATGCTTATTTTATCAGATGTATCTTTTTTCACACATCAAGCAAATGATCATAAATATAACACAGACATGATAGTGTCACATTTAGCACAATCTCTCACTGGCAACCGACTGCAAGGCTAAAGTATCTGTTAGGCTAAAATAACTGCAGCTCGTGTTGACATGATGAGGCTAATGTTAACTCTTAGTCTCTCTTATGGAGGCTAAAGTATTGGTGGAGGGCTGAACAGATCTGAGCTACTGAGAGTGGATTTTAAGGAGTTAATGTCTGTTTTGAAGTGCCTGACCATGGAGAGCCCTTAACTGTCTCTTTTTAGTCCACAGGCAGACACTGATGAGTTTGTATGAGGTGAGGAGTCAGCACTGTAGTTGTTAGCTTACCATCAGCGTTTTTGCTCTACTTTGTCACTCCCATTATTACGCCTGTCCAAAATTTATTGTTTCTTGGGACATGATAATTTACCATAGCCAAGGCATCACCTGATGTGGATTAATTTAAACCAAAGTGACAGATTGGAGTCACAGCTAAGAGAGTAGCTGTCCTGTATATGGCATTCTCTGCAGTAAAAAAACATATTTTATCATGAGAACCTATCTGCACAATTTTAGCCAAAATTCTGTTTCTGGAGAAAGTTACACAAAAATGAATAGGAAACTGAAAGGGGCAGTTCTTGAAGGAATGCATTTTGTCCATTGCCTTATATTAACACTTAATCATGACATGTTAGCTGTCAGAGTAAAACCATTATTGTGTTTGTGTCTATCATAAAATGATCATAAATATAACACTGACATGATAGTATAACAGATTACCTACCTACCTACCTACCTACCTACCTACCTACCTACCTACCTACCTACCTACCTACC